TCTGTCCTGTTTTCTTCATTGAGCCAGAGCTGATCCCCTACCTTAATAGTTACGAGTAGAAAGGGGGAGATGCTGGGCCATGTGGTTACAGACCGCAGCTTGAATATAATTCTGCTGCTGTTGAAGCCCAACAGCACCTTGTGGAATGCCCAGTTTTGAGTTACTAGATCTGTTTGAAATCTATAGCCATTCAGCACAGAAATAAAGATGGAAGTGTCCTCAATTTGAAGGCAGGATTTAATCGACATAATCTCTCCTTCTTTATACATGGTCTCTGTAATCACCACAGCATCATAAACCCACAAGACAAAGAGGAAGTGTCAACAGCTCTTCAATTTTTACTAACTACACTCCATGCATTCACATACATGCAGTGCAACCTGGATTTAATTACATTCTCCTTTGCTCAGACTCCACCAACTTTTTTATTTTTGTGCCGTCTGCCTCTCACAGCATTTTGTGCACACTGGTATTACTTTCTAATATTCTCTCCTGGTTTCCACATCCACGCTGAGTTACTTTAAACCCCCCCCAACAGCACAAGGAAAATGCTCCATCTCATTTCTGTTCAGGCGCAACCTATCTGAATTATATAGCTGCTAGCTTTCTCAGTATCAGCGCCCCAACAATCTAAAGCCCCCCCTCTCCTGCACCAGTTTCCAGCCAAGCCACACATTCATTTGTTTTATCTTCCTAGCTGTCTATGCCCTTACTTGTAGCACTGAGATTAATCTGGAGAGTACTACTTCAGGGATCTTGACAGCTAATTTTCTACCTAGCTCCCTAAATTTTAGCCACAGGACCACATTGCTCTTCCTACCTATATTTTTAGTACCAATCTGAATCATGGCGTCTGGCTTTTCACCACACCCACCAAATGCCTCCCCCTGCAGCTATTCGGTGATATCCCTGACCCTAGCAACAGGAAGCCAACAAATCATATCCGAGTGTCACACTGATGGCCACAGGAACAGCTGTCTGTTCCCCTAACTAAAGAATTCTCTATCAGTACTGACCTTACATCCATGGTGCTACAGGCTTGGTTCTTGCTGCATTCCTTCAAGGATCCATTGCCTCACCGAAATCCAGAGCAAAAAGAGGGTTAGCAAGCCAGACCTCTGGGAACTCCTGCACTACCTGCCTAGTGGTCACCGGTTCCCTACCTGCCTGCTTGTTCCTAACTTGCAGTGTGACCACCTGTCTGAACACGCTCCCCGTGTAGTTGCCCACCTCATGGATGCAACTCTAGCTGCTGCTTGAGCTCCAAAACTTGGAACTCAAGTTTTTTCAGCCATTAACACTTCCTGCATGTGGACCTGTCTAGGTCATGAGAAATGTTCACAACCCTGCCACATACCAAAGAATGGACATTCCATTTTGCCAAGCTTCCCTGCCATACCTTGACTCATACTTTTAAACCTCATTACTTATTGTAACTTTCAATGCTTTAACTTACTTCAACTTGTATTTTTACTATAAAACTGGAGATTAGTAGGAAGTAGAACTTCTTCACCGTTACACACAAATCAAGTCCCACTCCTGTGTCGACAAATTCACACTTTCCTTGTGCTAGTTTAGAAATTTATATATTTATCAAAATCGCTGAAGTTGAAACACATTTCTGAAAAGCAACAAACAATTAACTCAGGCTTTGCTGTGATCAAACTCAGACCTCCTTTCCTCTCCTTGTGCTGTTTTATTGGAGATCTGCTCTCTCTTTCTCTCCTCCACTCCCCCCTCTCTCTCCCATTCAGGCTCTTATTTTATCAGTCTATGGGACAGCTCTCTCAATTTTGGCCCAAGTCCCCAGATCTTGCCGGGTTAATGGAGTTCAAATTTCATCATGGTGGAATTTGAACCCATGTCACAAGATCGTGAGTCTGGGTGTCTGAATTACACAACCATTACCACTATGCTACCAAATCCCTTAACAATCATTCTAATGATGGGTTTACCATTATTGTTTAAAATCCAGAACCTGAAAATCTCCAAATCCTACAGCTTTGACAGGAGCTGCTAGAACATCTCTCAAAGATATAAGCATAGGAATCAGAGCCCCAAGAGACTGGAAAATGGTACCACAAGAGAAGCACTTGCTGCCCTCTCTGAGAGCTCATAACTGCTTCTCTATCACCTGTATCACCAGCGAGCATGTCAGCACAACATAGCCAGTTCGGTCGTACTATCTACATCAAGACACTGAGGTCAAACATCATGGCCACCTGAAGTGCCCTCAATGATAGCTTGGTGACTTTCCACCTTCCAAACCATTGCAATCGAGTAAATCCCTTTTAGGAGCAATGGAATAGACAGACCAGCACAGGGTTTAAAGTCTGTCTCTCCTTCTCCGCATATTATTCCCTCAATGGTGGTACGGGTAGTTCCACTGGATGCAAAACTGATAAATTTGGAGATTTGATTGGGGGTGCACAACATATCTTGGCAGCATGGACCAGGCACAGAAACTGTTATTTGAGCATTCTTCTGGTCTGTTCATCAGATCTCTGCATTTCATTCTGGGCCAGCTCTTTGTCTTTGCCAGTTTAATATCCCTTGTTGCCAAGAAGTCAACCTGTGACCTACAGTCTGGTTAAAATAGAGATAGGACAAACAACTAGCGCATAATGAATGAATCATGGCTTCTGACAGGAAACCATGAACAGACCCCTGTACTGGACAGTCTGTGATTACAAATGAGCTGCCTGTGAATGAACTGCATTGCACTGTGTCGAAGAACATGCCAGGCCGGTGATGCACAATGTGAATACTGCCTTTGAAGAAGATATAGATATTTTTCCTAATGATACACTGCACTGTGAACAGGGAAACATTGCTGATATCATCCACTGTACATTGGAACAATTTTGTAACTCATGAATTAAAATTTAGCTGAAAATGAGGCAGAAGGGTTGCGAATATATGAATGATTGCACATATTGCAAAAGCACTAGCATTTTAAACTACCTCTCGGACAGATGACAAAAATGCTTAGCTGTATAAAGGAATGAAAGGCCCAACCTTACACACTTTCTGCATTTAATATTCAAAAATAAGCACTGCCTTGACTGCTGAGTATTTCCTTCTAATTATTTGTGCCTACAATCCTTTGTTTCTTTGTCATACTCAACAATTAGCATAGGCTCCTGAATGGGAAAATTATAGGTTGCCATCCTAGGAATTTCCACTTGAATTAAATTTGGGCCTTAAAATGTACAGGAGAAGTTGTAGAAGCCAGGAAACACTCAAAGGTCCTACTGAATTTAATGGAAGAACTTCTTCGTTTCCTGTTGACAGCAGAGCAAGAGGACGACCAGCTGTTGGGTGGGAAAGTCTGTGTCCAAAGGCACTCGTCAGGCAGCAGGGAATTGAAGGGATTGAGAGCCAGCAAGAAGATTGCAACATGCACTGTCAAAAGGAGGAGAGATTGAGGAGATAGCAGGTCAGGCAGGAAATTTGTAGGAATGAGTGTTTACACTTTGAGGTCAGAGGTTAGCTCAACAGATCACAGGGAAAGAAACAAGTTTACTGGAGGAGACAGAGAAAGCACAGGCTGTGCTGGAAAAGTGATTCCCTGCCAAGTCTGGCTGCTTTTGATTCACTTCAGATGCAGGGTTAATCCTAGGAAACTTGCATTGGAGCCATTAAGTCTAAAAGTCTGCTGAGTCTGTTGACAGAAAAGTAACTTTGCTTACGTTTGAAAATTACTGACCAACTAACTTGACTTCCAGTTGCAGGTCATGTCCTGACAACAGCAAAAATAGGGAGGTTTGGATCGGGTTTCAGATTTTTGTAATTTTAATTTCCGCTCAAGTCATGTTTTATTTCATACATATGTGAAACAGTGAACAGGAAGAAGTCACATGTTGCTTTTCTATAATTATGGTATTGGTTTACTGGTGTGGTACACCACTAGAAAAATAGAAAGCGATTAACTTAGACATTATTAACAAGTGATCCTGATGGTACGCATGAAATGGCGCAAGCCTTCTCTGTCATACTGTAATTCTTTGAATTACTGACAGCAACGCCATAAGAGCTCAGATATTTAAACATGCTGTTCATGCTGTCACTTTTAAGCCAACAAGAACAGACCACTAGCAAAAAGGAATACCTACAGGAAGTACACACCACATGCAGGAGCTAATTTATTACTGCCAGATTATACTGGACAATACAGAAGGGTTCCAGAAATTGAGACTGTAACAATCCTTATAAACCCGGATGAAGGGTTGAACTGTTATTTCACCATTCCCAAATAAATCTGGTTTCGTTTCAGATATTAAGAAAACTATATCAGATTCCACGAATGGTACTGGAGGTGGATTGTTTGCCTCATAGGTTTTAATTAAATAATCCAATTCTTTTCGATTCAATGTTCCAATTCTCCACAAAGAGTGATACGTTTCAAAATAGCTCATGATAAAAATAACAAAAGCTTGGATGAAATAACTTCTTTTTGCTGCCTTTCATGTAAAGTAAACTAAATTGTTCTATGCTTTTGTTTTAAGTAGTACAATATCAATCTGAAGGTTTTAATTTGTTTCTTGAGGATTGACAGAATGTAATAACTCTGAATAACCTTATTTTCATGTTGATTTTTAAAAAAATCTCCTGATAGAATCCTCAAATGCTTCCTGTACAATGAATTACTTTGACCTGCAATCCCTGTTATTATGCACCACTAGCCTCATAATAATGGAAAGAGGCAGCTTTAAGTATTTTGCTTTCACACATCTAGGGACTGATTTTAATTCTCTGCAGGAGGTTGCGTTTTCAGTGAATTAAATTCTCACCGAAATTGTTACCAAAATAAAACTGATTCACAGTAATAAGCTGAAAATTAACCATGTCATTTCATCAAGTCAACAGATTTGGAATGCTTACTCTTCTATTCAGATGGATGAGATAATATACCCGCCCTGATGTTGGATTTTTAAAAATTAGAAAAAGAAATTAAGCAATATTTAACTTTTGTTGCCTAGCAATGTCTTCAGGCTTACCTCGTGCCTAAATGCTTTGGCTTGTTCTTCACAACCTGGCAAACTCAGTATAAATTCAGATACCTACAAATAAAACCAGAGGGATATTACTTTCACAACAAAAAGTAATACATTATTGAATTTTAATAAGGGCACAAATAATCAAATAACTTTAGAGAAGAATATTCCTTTTCCTGGTTTATCCTCTTCAAAAATACAAAGGTGATTTAAGCAACATTTAATTATTCTATTTACCATTCAATAATTAAAGCATACCATTGCCGTCATATTATATCGACCATAGAGATGCTCTGTCATTAGAGAGACAACTAGTAGTTGTTTAACTCAAATAAGGGGAGAAGGTGAGTCTGTCATGGTAATTTCAGCCAGTGTGTGAACTGAACGTGTGCCGTTGTCATCACTCTGCATTTCAAACCAGCTGTCCAGCAAACTGAGCTGACCGATGCCCGTTCAATAATTAGCAATCTCACTATTATTATTATGTACTAGCAGATCGCTATATCTCTGTTTGTAGTGAGCAGAGGTATAGAGTTTAATAAAGAGTTGTTGTCTGCAAAATATGAATGCAGAGGCAAAGGTAAGTACAAGCAGATGTAAATCTTGAAATCCAAAGAAATGCAAAACTCTGTCAGCTCCTCTCCCTGGAAATGTCCAAGACATGGAATTTATGACAAATCTGCTGAACTCTGGGAAGGACCCAATGTTAAAAATGGGTACTGCAAATTTGCACAGTGACAGCAAATATTTTTCCACTGTCAGTAGCTAATTCTAGAGTTAGGTACCTTCCAATTTAAGATGATTGAGGGTAAAATTATGTTAGGAAATCCCAAGGATAACTTTAAGAAGAGTTTTCTTTAAATCATGACAAAACACAAAATAGAAATCAAAATATGGAAGCAGTTTTCATGAATAGATCTGAGTAACCTAATGTGGATTGTCTGACAATTTTTTTTTAAATGCTGGGGCAAGTTAAAAAAAAACATGTGGGCTCTCAGACTCAGTTCTGAGGAAGGGCCACTGGAACCAAAACATTAACTCTGATTTCTCTCCACAGATGCTGCCAGGCCTGCTGAGCTTCTCCAGCAATTTCTGTTTTTGTCCCAGGCCTAAGAATTGGCTGACTAAGTAGAATTATGGGACCTGAGCAAAAATGAGTACAGGTCTGTTGAATAGGTCAGGGCCCAAGACCAGAGTGTGAATGAGAACCTCCCAGCCTAAGTGTGTGTTCATGGACACAAATGTTACCTGACATCAATGGAAACAAAGGGTATATTTGCATTTGAACCCTTTGCTGGGAAAGAATGGGCATCTGGCCTTTGTCAACTACAGTCTGAACAAGAGGAAGGAATGTAAACAATCAATGGCACTGTTCTTACCTGTGGAAAGGAACATCAAAACTACTGCTGATGATTAAAGACTGCACTCTGACTGGAGGACTCAACAGAACTTTCTGGAAATGTACCAGAAAAGGCATATTACCCTGGAGTTGGCCTTGGAAGAATAGCAGAAATGTCACTGAAACTGATGACGCTCAAGGTGAAAGGAAACTCTATCTCAAGAGTTTAACTGCAGTGTGAGACCCACTTCTGCAGAGAGGTCGGGGGTGGTGGTGGAGGGGAGGGGGGGGTGGTGGTAAGGGGGTGGTGTAGAGAAGAGAATTCAGCTCTACAAACTTCGCCAACTTGTCTTCCATGTTTGAGTGTGCATCGGAAGTATTTCTGGGAACCTAGGTTAGTTAGAAAGAGTTCAGTAACTTAATGTTGAATAGCTTTCTTATTTTTGATTACTAACTACCAGGTCTTATTTACACGTTGTGACTTCATCGGTATCCAACTGCATATGTTTGTTGGCTTGATACAACAAGGTACCTGTGTAAACAGGTTTTAAACAAAATATTGGTCAAAGTGTTTGGACATGTGTGTTTTGCCACAGACTACAATAGGGACACCTGGCTTCTCTCAAGTGATTAAAAATTAAGTGTTTGACATGAAGGTCCTATCAATAAAATTCTGCAACACAGTGCAACATTTAGATTAGGGACATATAAAGAAAGTGAGAAAAAGGCCACATTCTGCTGTAACAGGATATCTAACAACATCTGCCCATTAATTAGAATTTGCACAGTATGTTTATGTTTCTAAAATTTTTGTGGGATAAATTTCACTACTGTTGCAACTAGTTTAATTTGAACAGACTGCTGAAAGCACTGCCTGATAACAACATGTGGGAATCAGGGCGTATGGGATCCCAAGCGAACCAGGCAAGCAACTGTGCTTCACCTTAAACGATCAGACATAATGTTTGGAAAACTAACTGCAAAAATGAGAAAGAACTGTAACTGTGGCGAATGAAATGTGAAATCAGACATAGAAAGTGACAGAGTGATAAAACAATTGGATAACAGAGAGGTCAGTTAAGAAAATTAAAAAATATATAAAACATTGAAATTTTACATTTTTCATCTGCCACTATATTTGAACTAATGAAATGTGACAGAACTCAAGGGTCTTAAAAGGTTATGTGGAGAGAGTTGTAAAATTGAACAGAGGACAAAGATTAGTCATGATTATATTGAATGGTGGAGTAGGCTTGATGGGCCAGATTCTCTCCTCCTGAACCAAATTCTTATCTACGTGTAATAATTTATTTTCAGTGCTTGAGAAGTTGATTAGCAATAACTAACTCAATGTGCTGTTAAAAATGCACTTGGACTTGAAATGACCCGACTTTCTATGATGAATTTTGTTCCATTGGAATACCTTGAGGATTCTTATGGTTTAAAATTATGATAATAACTCAGTCAAAAAAAAAGTATACAAAATACAATACAATATAGTACAGGAATGGGCCCTTTGGCCCACCAAGCCTGTGCCAATTCCTAGTCCTTATTTAGACCCACTACACATTGCCCACATACAATTTCTATCCCCCATTCGCCTCCCATTCATGTGTCTACCAAGATATGCCCTAAATGTTGCTAACATGCCTGTTTCCACAGGCTGTGTGTTCCAGGCCCTCACTACCCACTTCGTGAAAAATTTTCCCCACACTCTCCCCTTTTTACCTCGAACCTGTGCCCTCTTGCAGTTGACTTTTCCACCCTGGGAAAAAGCCTCTGACTATCCCCCAACTCTACGCCTCTCAGAGATCTACAAAATTATCAGGTTGCACCTCAGCCTCCGTCTTTCCAGTGAAAACAATCCAAAATTATCTAACCTCTCGTCATAACTAATACTCTCCAGATCAGGCAACATCCTGTAAACCTTCTCTGCTACCACTCCAAACCATCCAAGTCCTTCCGGTAGTGTGGCGACCAGAACTGCACACAATATTCCAATTGTGGCCTAACTAAAAACTTGTATGCAACTGTAACTTAAATTGCCAACTTTTATATTCAATGCCCCAGCCAACGAAGGCAAGCATACTGCATGCCTTCTTGACCACCTTATCCACCTGTGTTGCCACTTTTAGGGACCTTTGGACCTGTATGCCTGGATCCCTCTGTCTGTCAATGCTCCTAAAGGTTCTGCCATTTATTGTGTAATTCGCATCTGAATTTGATCTTCCAAAATGCATCGCATTGCATTTGTCTGGATTAAACTCCATCCGCCATTTCTCTGCCCAAATCTGAAATTCTGCTCACTATCTGCAACACTGCCAATTTTGTTGTCATCTGCAAACTTACTAATCACTCCACCTACATTTTCCTCTGGATCATTTATATATATTACAAACAACATAGGTCCCAGCACTGACCCTGTGGAACACCAATAGTTACTGATCTCCATTCTGAAAAGCACCCTTCCACCGCTACTTTCCGTCTTCTATGACCAAGCCAGTTTTGTATCCATCTAGCCAGCTCGCTCCAGATCCCATGAGCCTCTACCTTCTGTACCAGCCTGTCATGAGGTACCTTATCCAATGCTTTATCAAAGCCCCGAGTTTCATTTCAAGACGCACTTTCTCCTTGATTTTGGCAAAGCGTGACATAAACTTAAGCCAAGTTCATCATAAAAGAGGGTTGGTAACTTTAGTATAATTTGGATTCTGTGATGCAAAACTGTGCAAACAAGTCGAATTCTGACACTATGGCCTTATTTTACTTTATGTTGGGAATTAGCAGGACACGTAAGGGCCCCCTTTCAAACCAACATTCCTCCTCCATCACCCCACATCCACCTGCCCTGACTCTTCCTACTCTGAATTGGGCCGAGGTGATTTTAATTACCAGGTCTTATTTGGATACACCTAAAAAAGAGTCCTGTCGAAATCCAATGGGGATGACAAAGAAGCAATGGCTAGGAATGGGACATTGTAAGGATCGGACCCTACCAAGCAGGATACTGCCCCGGGAAGTTAAGTGACCAATGGGTGGCCCAGAATGACCGGGGAGTTGAGCCAGGAAGATGCAAGATCTTAATGTGGTAAGGACAATTGTTAGATCTCAGCTGAAGTATTGTCCCCAGCTCTGGGCACCACATTATAAGAATAATACACAATAATATGTTACTTAGACCATAGAAACAGTTTACAAGAATGTTTCCAGGGATGAGGAACCACAGCCTGCCCAGAATGCAGACTCCTCTTCTCTGCTCTTCGTTGCTGCAGACTTTGTGATCACTGGCAAAGCGGCGGTAGAGTGATCAAACTTCTCTGGAGTGTTGCGAGAAGAAACCTCAGTGGGGTCAGTGTGTCACTCTTCCTCTCCCTAAGATACACGATGGTATCACCCTACCTCCCTGAGAGGAAGTGGCACCTGGAGCTGTGGTTGAGATCCCTCATCCCCTCTTGCTTTGCCATTGATGTTGATAGAAGGAAGGCAATGAGTTTTATTACTAGACTATTAAACCAGAGACCCAGGCAATGTTCTGGAGACTTCACTTCAAAAAACCCATGTGTCCGAAGGTGGAATTTCAGTTCAATAAAAAAGTCTGGAATTAAGAGCCTAAGGATGACCATTGCTGATTGTAAACATTTAAAAAAAACACTTACGATTAAAGTGATGCAGTTCAATTCCATGCAGCTATCAGCAAATTCTGAGTGTGCTGGATAGGAGTCTCTGTGGCAATCAACAACCTGTGTAGATGGCCAGAGCCATACATAATAGAGTCAACATGGTATTGATAATGTTGGTGGTCTGCTCCATTCTTTGATCCAGCTTACCAAGTGCCCCTGATAAACCTGCCAGCTGCTCTTGAGCCTGTCAATGCAGTTTGACAAAGTCTTTAATGGCCCCAAGAATAAGGGGTCGTATTCTGCCTGGGGCTAAGCAGATGCCTGGTGTCGGGTAGTCCGCTGTGTAGTGTCAGATACCTGGGACATTTCTTCCTTTATTAGTTACAGATGTGTGTCAGCAATGTGTTCACCTGACTGCATTCCTAAATCTAATCTAGAAAGAGGACCAACTAAGGTGAAAGTCCCCGAGCTGGTATAGCATGCAAATGAGAGCCTCGCCAGTGCATCCTCTGAAAGTTCTGTGGCTTCCTCTTCGGAGGCAGAGATGAAGCTGAGGGCCATTAGTGCTGGCCTTATGAAGGTCCACATGATGCCACTAGTACATGCAAAGGAGAAGAGAGGGAACGAATTGTGTAACAGGAATAAATGATGTGTAAATCAAGAAGGTGTTCACACTGATAGCAACATGGGAGTGCCGCAGCACAATAAAGTTTACTGGGTTGGTTGACGTGTACCTGTGCCTACTGCAATCATTTGTGATCTTCTGTCAAATCCAAAATGTTCTCCCCATAAGGAGTGAGGAGTCTGATGTCACACCTGACCCCAGCTTTCCTGCAATGAGACAAAGGATAGAGTTTTTATTTGATTCACTCGTAAGACATGGGCTTCGTTGGCTGATCAGCATTTATTGCCCATCCCTGGTTGCCCTTGAACTGAGTGGCTCACTAGGCCATTTCAGAGGGCAGTTGAAAGTCACCAACTTTGCTGTGGATCTGGAGTCACATGTAGGCCAGGCCAGATGAGGATGGCAGTTTCCTTCCCTGAAGGACAAGAGTGAACCAGATGGGTTTTACTGACAGTTGACAATGGTTTCACAGTCGTCAGTAGATTCTTAATTCCAGATTATCACTGAATTCAAATTCCACCATCTGCCATAGTGGGATTCAAAACCAGGTCGCTAGAACGTTAGCTGAATTTCTGAATTCATTGTATAATTGTATATTCATTGTATAATTCATTGAATAATGCCACTCGGCCATCGCCTCCCCCTCCAGTATGCCTTCAGAATGACTTAAGTCAGTGGTGATATATGAGAGGTGGTGAGGTGCTCTCTGTGGCTGAGAGCCATTGAGTGGCATGATGTGTGCAAAAGTAAGAGCTGCAATCCCTGAACCTTGGTAAGATGCGTGTGCAGTGGCAAAGTTAGAGTGACCAGTGGCCCTGTGTGTGTGGTTGCAGAGAAGATTACATCAGTTACCTTTGCGAAATGCAGAAAAATCACAGACTTTCCTCCTGAGCCACTGAACATTCCACTTCACTTGGAAGACAGCACTGCCCTTCTCTTCACCATCCCATCCTCCAAATCCCTGTCCGTGAAGCAAGGAGTGAGCTTTCCTTTCTTCTGGGTGATGCCCTCAAGTCTAACGGTTGAGCATCCCAGTATGAAGGCCAGTTCCTGGCTTGTAGTATCTTAAGCGATGGGCAGCTGGATTTCACCAGAGGGGAGAATACTTGTAGGTTGTCTGCAGCAGTGAGCTACTTCATCTGTCCAGTTGCATGACTTCCCAAGAAGAATGCCCAAGAGCACGTTACATAATTAATGAGGTGAACAGTGGAGATTCCAGGAGAAGAGTCACTCCAAGCTACCGCTGACCGGTCACCACGAATCTCATTGCACAAAATATTTTAACTGAAACTGGGAAAATTTCCAGTTTTTGGATGATATGGTTGTGGCCTCAGCTCCAGTGTCCTGCCTGCAGTCCATAACCCATCAGTTCCCTTGTCTAACAATAACTCAACAATAGTCAACAATCAGGTGCACATGCGCTTTTTCTGGCTCACCAGAATTACTCTTGCTTGGGCCTGTTCTGGACAAGTTCCTCCCAGATTTTGCAGCTAAGACAGTGAGAAGCCTTTGACAATCTGTGTTAAAACTGCATGCTTTAATGGTTATAACATTCATCTGTGCTTTGCCTCAAATTAGGCTCCAGTACTGAGGTGGGCATCTTCCTAAAATCTGTAAATCAACCACTATAACAGTAAATGTGGCAAATCGTTTGACTGCTATTCAAACACCCTAGCATCAGGCAGGCCGAGTTATACCTGAGACTCTAGTACTTTCCTAACTGTTTTCCAGATGGTACTTTGACACTGTGATGCTTGTGATTATTATTTCATATAAAGCATATCAGTTTATCAGTCCCATTGTTCTTGCAAGACATCTTGTGGTGTTGCTTAAGATTAGTAGGAAGACTAACTATTGTATCACATTGAGGTGCTATCAATAAACTGAAATGCAGACACAGTTGGATGATTAAGTGCGATATTCATACAAAGTTCACACTGCATGTAAGATTTTGTGCATGCTGTGCAATTTTGTAAGAAGAAAATTTGATGGCTTCCTTCCATACCTCATCAATAGTCCATTTTGCTACTTTTCTGGCTGTGATTCCAGCAACTCCAGGTAATAGCTTGCTGTGCTGTTCCCAGCAAAGAGGCAGGCTGGGCACTGGTGATGCTGAAGACAAAAACACGGACTGATGCAATGCCTGCTGCAGGTTGAAATCATCATTTTCTGTGAAGATAGTAAATTGGTAAAAATAATTAACTTCATATTAAAAAATAGTAGTTAAAAACATTAAAAGCTATATGCACATCTCCTTAAATTGTGGTTCAAATACCATAATTTGGGTTTTATTAAATAAATTTAGAGATTAGTCAATGGTTTTGAGTTGTAATTCTTTTTTTCCTTTCACTGTTCCTCTAAATTTCTCCACTTCTCTTTAAGCATGCAGGTTTAAAGTTAGGATATAGTCGCCTTCGTTTCAGTATTTGTTTCCAGTTTCTTGGTTTGTTTCAATATCGACAAGTCATTCTCCAGTTATGGGCCTGTACTGCTAGTGTTAGTCGGCTAATTTAACTGTGGAAGGCATCACAAACTTTCTTGCTATTGTCCAATTTCTCCATGCAGGTCATATCTAACATACGTGACTTAATGTTTAGAAGAAGTTTTTAGGAGTAGGGAAATGTTTATATTTGATAGCTGTCAAAGTCCCTCTCAAGAAACTAAAACTGAAGCTCAAGATATTGAAGATAAGTCACTGTATGGATAGGAAACTGACTGTCAGACAGGGATAATGGTCAGGTACTCTAAGATGAGCGGTGTCTTACGGGGATTGTGGGGGGTCCTCAACTATTCTCTGTATTTATTGACAATTTGAATTTTTGGCTCTCTCTGCCATATTCTAAGCTTGCTGATTACAGTGCCATCTATCTTTTGCATTACCAACATAAATGGAAATATAAAATTACAAGGATATTACAGAAATTAAGTGAATGGGAAAACTTCAGCAAATGGATTTCGATATAGACAAGTTTGAGGTCATCCACATTGCTCCTAACAATGATAGATCTGAGTGCTTTTTAAGTGGTTAAAAAGCTAGAAACAATGGAAGTCCAAAGACAATGGAACACATGGGTAAAATTTTATGTGCAGATACAGAAAATTCATAAAAATCACAATTAGAATGCTGGCCTTTGCAACTAGGTGACAAGGTTAGAATAGAGTATAATTATGCTACAGGGATACATAGACCTAACTTGATCTGGAGTACTAACAGCAATTTTGGGCATCACATCCAAGGAAACATATTACGGCTCAGAAATGCCAATTACCGGTGACATAGATTCAACCAATGGTTTCTTTTCAGCCAAAATTCCATGTCGGGCCTTACCTGAACATTTCATTCAAAGGAGAGATGTTGTGTCCAGTGTGTTTGTGTTTCAAGCCAGTTGAGGTTGAGTTGAGGGTAGGGGTGTGAATGTCAGGTTTGGGGTCACAGGGGCTGGGAAGTGTAATTGGGGGTGGTGTGCCTGTTGTGGATCTGTGGTTCAGTTTAATTGTTAACCAGGAGTTACAGCTAGTTTTCAATACTCTATCATTACCGGAGAAGCTGTGCGGCTCACAGTTAGAACCCTACAAAGTCTCCAATTTGAAGAGACTTTTGCAGAAGTTTAAAGATGTAGGGGAATTGTCCATCAAAAACTTCAATTTTCGGGGCACCTCCCAGAGAGTTAGCTATGTTGGGGTTTCCATCTGGTCCCAACATGCAACTCTACTCTATGTTGCTCCAATGACTATTTGACCACCAGAATATCTGGGCAATTAGCCTTGGAGGATGCATGGATATACCACCCTGATACCTGAACTCCAAAGACTAAATTACAAAGAGATATTACATAAACTAGACTTGGATTTCCCAGCAATTTAGAAGTTGAAGGAACAATCTGATGTAATCTTTCAAGATGCTGAGGAAGTTTAAGACAAATTAAAAGTATTTCCTCTGATAGGAGAATCTAAGAGGAGGAGGCATAACCTAAAATACAGGTCTTTCAAGATTGAACGTTTTATTTATTCATTCATGGGATGTGGGTGTTGCTGTTGGACAATCCTAGTTGGTCTTATGTCTCCCTAGAAGAGGTGACTGTGAGCTAGGAGCTGCCCTCTTGAACTATGACAGTCCTTGAGGAGCAGAGAGGAGCTTCTGATGAGAAGGAGCGTGAGAACCCAGAGTGACGTCAGAAACAAGTCAGTAAGTGATTGGCTGTTTGAGGGGTGAGTATAACTCTAATTTTTTCTTACCCTAATCAAATAACCTGTTGGAATTACTGTACTTAACTGTTCATGTACATTAGTGAGAATTAGATTTAGTTTTTCTTCAACTGGGTAATTTTGGAGTTAATTAAAAGGGATGGCTGGCCACCTCATTGAGACGGTATGCTCCACCTGTAACATTAGGAGTTCTTGGATACTGATAGCATCAATGAGCACCATGTGTGCAGGAGGTGCTGTTAGTACCTCCAACTCGAGTGCCCGGTTATAGAGCTTACCGAGGTCTGGAGGCAGTAAGGAACATCCAGGAGAATGAGAGTTACGAGGATAGAGCATACAAAGTGGTGGTCAACCCACAGTGTAAAAGGATGCAGGAGGACAGGGAATGGGTGACTGCCGCATGCAAACATGAGGCAAGGCAGGTAGTGCAAGCGTCCCCCAAGGCCATCCCAATAGCCAATTGATACTCTGTGTTGAGTTCTGGCAACAGTGATAATGTCTCAGGGAATTGCAGCTGATGCAAAATTTGCAGCACTGTGGGATGCTCAGCTGGACAGCGGGGGAGGAAAAGGTGGTTAGGACTGTAGTGAAGGAGACTCAATCATTAGGAAACAGAGAGGTACTTCTGCAGCCATTCTAGTTACAACAGGATGGTGCAGTGCCTTTCTGGTACAAGGGTCCTGCAGGTTACTGTGCAGCTTTTGGGCATGTGTTGGTGGTGGTGGCGTTGGGGTTGGCGGAGGGTGGGTTTAATCTTTAAAAGGAGTCAGCACAGGCAGATGATCAAATATCCTCCTTCTGTACTGTAAAAACACAACAGCCATATTCCAGTGAAAGTGGAGTGTGTGTAGCGCAGGGTTCAAAATTATTTTTCTTTCTCAAGGGCTCCTCCTGAGGTTATCTCAACAGCTTTATATTTTCAGGAGCTACTTTTTTTCATTCTCACTAACTTATTTACTTGGAGATACTGTCACATAGCATCAATACCTTCTGTATTTGTGTTGACATGTTATTTAGACTCACACAAACAAAATTAGAATAGCTCATTAACATCTTCAATTAATATCACCTCTTCATTAAACTCAAAACCACAACACCCAAGGAAAGCATTAATTTCCATGACATCATAATATTTAAACTAGTACAAGATAATAGGCATTAAATGGCAAAAGTTTTCGCCCTCCCAAAATAGTTGACAGATGCTTCTACACACAAAAAGCCAACATCGCAGACAGACCTTCCACAGATGGGGGAGGGTACAGTCAATACATTTCTGTCACATGTACAAAGCTGTAATATTTTAACCAGTCACAGGCCTATTAACTGCATCTTGGATCTCATCTCAGATTTGAATTTAACAAATGACACTCTTCATTACAGTAGGATTCATTATACTTTTGCCAAACATAGCTGCTGCTGAATTTACACAGTTCCACACATTTCATTCATTTTCAAGGAATTTATTACTTCAGTAATTTCAAGTTTTTTTGGATCACAGTTAGCCGAATATTCCTTTGTTCACAGCTTTAGAAAACTGGTCTCTTTCCTTTGCAGCCTCTCTCTCCACCCCACACTCCACTTGCAGCCTCCATCCCCTGGCTCACACCTCATGCACCGTTGTTCTCACCTCTCATAACTCTTACAGCCTCTCAACCCTTTCCCTTCTGCAATGAAGCCCTTCTCCCACTCTGCCCTCCTCTGGCTGACAACTCCACCAAGGACTATGTGAACAACTAATTGGATCCAGCAAAAGGCTCCCCCACCACGCTACCAGCTCTCGCCAAAAGGCTCCCCTGGCCAATCACTCAATGCCAGCACTGAATTTCCAAACTGCCTGCTCTCCCTCCAGTCATAAGCTGTATCTCTCCTGGGTTTGCTGAGTGAACAGCAAGAGCTAGAGAGGTTAAAGCTGTCATTGCAAGAGTAACTCCTCACCATTATATCTATTATTTTTCCACAGGTGACCTTTCACTTGGTCACTCCCTGTGAGTGAATATTTCCAGGCGATTTGGGGGTTTTGGGGACAAATCCACCCATCGTCTTCATGTATTTTGAGTGTTGCTGCAGTACAACATTGGATTTGATTAATTTAATAGCATATGACAGAATGATGCCATGACAATCATCTGAGAAATAATGGGTTCGGCAGGTCACCTGACGATGCCTCTATATGCAGAAATAACCTCATCCTCATTAACTCTTTAATGTTCCGTGATGAAACCTCACCTAGATTTGTACTAAGTACATATCCCAAGGAATTGCCTATAAGAAAAAGTACAGACATATAATGTGTTCGTATTTCGTGTCACTATTAAATGAACCAAGTAAGCTCATCAGTGGGTTCAAAGTTATGAAATTTGGATTAATGCACTTGGTTACTGAATTCCTGAAGTCTACACAGAAAACATTTTGTATGCCATAGTGAAATCTTCAGTGCTGTTTTTACTAACGCTGGTAATGCGGAAATTTCACAAAAATTCATTTTGGATTGTTCAATTTTATGTTCCGTAATCTGTTCCTTTACCTTTGTTTTCATTTTGCCAGTTAACCTTATTTGTAACTTCCTCTTCCTGCTTGATTCTTGGATGCTTCAATGGCCTTCCAGCTCTAGAAGAGGAGTCAAAAAACAAAATAGTATTGCTTAAATAAAGTAATTTAAACAAAAAAAAAAAATATTTTGAAGCATATAAATATATACAGCAAATATTTTTATTATCTGGCCCCCAGGGGACCAGGAGTGTGCTGGTTGATCAAATATTCCAGATAAGAAGAGGTGCACATAACCGCAGTAAACCCTGACCAAGTGAAGCTTCGAGACATAAACATCTCTCAAAAAAAAACTATGTAAAGCATCACCACACTCACTAAAATCAACGTAAAAACAAAAGTAATAAACGTATGGCAGGATTTACACACATGGGTATATAAATAAGAAGGGTTTAGAGGGATATGGGCCAAATGAGACTAGATTAATTTAGAATATCTGGTCGGCATAGATGAGTTTGACCAAAGGGTTTGTTTCCATGCTGTACAGCTCTATGACGCCAAGTATAAAATTTTCCAATTTATCTGGTTTCAAACCAAGTTTGATAGAAACCATGGACCGGGTTTCTGCACGTTAAAAAAAATTACTATTTATTACAAGTTAATTAGATTCTAGCTACAGGCAAACAGTTATAAACTGTCAGCATACAACACTGCAATTTAGAATTCTAAACCCGTTATGAATTCGGCCATTTTACACACACACACACACACACACACACACAGAAAATAAGTGGTGAGCTGGAAAGCTGGAAGGTAATGCAGCAGTTTCTATTCATGAGTTGCTGAGTTGATCCTTATGACTCTAATGCTGATCAGAATGTTGCTTTAGCTGGATACTTCCACTGGTTTGCAAGAGACATAAGGTGACTGACTCATTTATCAAAGGTCTCCAACTGATCAGTTTAAAGTCAGCCACAGTACATAGAGACATCTTCTTTGCTGGTGGAGTTAATGCTGAGTCCAGTGTGACTCTTCTTCAGAACATTCCCTCTTAGCTGCACAGCAACACAAAAATTCCCATGCAAGGCATTCAAACGCATCTCTTAATACCAATTGTTTCCAAGAGCAGGGAATTCGAAGAGTCCAGGGAGGGAGGAGATGGTATGGACTTGGAAGAAAGACCAGGAGTAAGGCCAGAGAGTCAGGGAAAGAAGATCTGGAGCACAGTCTTGAAGGAGTAGGTGTAAACTCCAGGCCAGCGATCACACCATGGCAAGTTGATTGGCTAGTGCTCAGTGAAGCTGCGGCTTATTGTTATTTGAGAATGGCGCTCATCAGGAGTAGTTGTTTGAAGGTAAGTCTTTAGGAAACAAAATATTTTCAATACAGTGTAGAGCTGGGAGGAACGCAGCAGGTCAGACAGCATCAGAGCAGGTAAGTTGATGTTTCAGGTTGGGACCTTTCTTCTGAAGTAAGGCCCTGACCCAAAACGTCAATTTTCCTGCTCCTCTGATGCTGCCTGACCTGCTGCGTTCCTCCAGCTTCACACGGTGTTGTCTCTGACTCCAGCATCTGTAGTTCATGCTATCTCCAAAATATTTTCAATGTGACTGCTCTGGCATGTAAAGGCAGACATTTCTGGCAGCACTCTCAAATGACCTTGTTTTTATTTTCTTGGACTTGTAGAATTGTGTGTATTGATTAATGGGGCATTTTGCAGCGGAGCTGAGAGATTCATTTCAGATCTACAACCAAATGTGGCTGCAGGGCTGCAGGAAGACAAAGGAAAATCTCAGCAGTAGCATCAACAACTTACAAGATGCTCATGCTGGCACTAAACTTGTTTTTATTTATCTTTTTTGCAAAAAATACTGTGGAGAAATACATAGTTAAGGACAGTGTGTGGCTGTATGAAATTGAATTCCAGTCAGTGTGCACTGGCCTGCAGAGCAGATTGTAGTTCAAGTATACAATTAACAACCAATTATCTACAAGAAAGATCAGGTAAACTTGTTTTTAATATATTTGCAGAAATTTGCGGAAAAATGTAGGCTGAAAGTAGTTGAATTATAAGATAGATTTGCCACTCCTTTATTGATTTGCTTACAGGCCAATTATTCTGCAATTTTATTGGAAAATATTTTTTGTTGGACAAATTCAGTGGAACTAAATGTCTAACAACTATACCCATAATTTAAGGGAATGTGGCAAAAGCTCAGTAAAGCTTGTGTCATTTGTCTTTGACATGTAGTACATGCATTAATTTCATTTCATTTTTCAGTGTTTTCTGGGTGTCTTTACACTATAAGTTTGGAAATGAGCTTGAGTATCTTTAATTCACTTCTTCCGTGTTCACCATATATCTGATATCCCATTTCATTAATTTTAATCCACCAATAAAATTTGAAATCTACATCAACATTGAAAAGACTTGAGTATTAAATCATACTGGGGAAAAATAAATTAAAATCATAAAGATGCACAGTGCAATGTTAGTCTCTTACGCTCAAGGTGAGCAGAAGACAACTGCCCAGATATTCAGGAAAGCCATGGTACCTGTCTACTAGTCAGCTACCAGCAACAATCATGTCCAACTGCTTGCAGTGAACAAAGTATTAATTGAGCTGCCTGTGCAGAACCGGGAAAAAAATCTACTGATAGGCAACTGGGATTTACCAGTCCCTACAGTTCAGGTAAAGGTACTGGGCTGGCACTGCCGTTATCTTCTTTCTGAGGTAAGTTTCTGCCAATGAAGAGAGATTGTGCAAAATGCTGGAAGTGCTAAAAATAAATGAGTATATCACCGACAATGCCACTATTTATTGCCCAGCGCCAACTGCCCAAACGCTGGTGAGCTACCTTCTTGAACTGATGCAGCTCATGCGTTGTAGGTATTCCCACAGTGTTGTTAGTCAGGGAATTCCGGGAGTTTGATCCAGTCACATCAAAGAATTAACAACAAATTTTAGTCAGGCTGATTGTGAATTGATGGTGAACTTTTAAAAGTGCTGGTGTTCTAATTAGCCTACCACACCCATTATTCTTGGGGCACAGGCTAAGATTTAGGCCTTATTTGCAACGCTATTAACAAAAGACAATGTTAGGAAATTCCACCATTTGTGTACTTTTCCCTTTAGTAGTATACAAGAGATTGGTCCAAATATGTGCAGGTTAGGTGGACTGGCCATGCTAAATTTACCCATAGTGTCCAGGGATGTGCAGGTTAGGTGGATTAGCCAGGGTAAATGCAGCATTATGGGGATAGGGTAGGGGCACTGGATCTGGGTGGGATGCTGTTCTGAGGGGCCACTGTAGAGTCGTGCTCCAAATGGTGTCCTTCCGCACTGTAGGGGTTGTTGGGATTCTATGGTCAGTTTTGAGCTAAGAAAAGTATGGGCTCAAAAGAAAACAGCACCGCTTTTGACTGCATTGAGAGAATAACTGGTCTTTATGTTACTCAAGAAAACCTAGTCCTGCTACATTATACATGAACTTAAAAACAGAAGCACATGGATGGAATATGGATAAAGGTTAGTGACAAAATAGAAGCTTTGGAGATCCTGCTAAGAGATGTTGAGGACACATCTAAGACAGTCAAAGTGGAAACTGATCAACGTTTTCACTTGCCTTCCATACCAAAGTGTGCTGATGATGAAGGCTTGACACGCTTGTGGTACATTGTTCTCAGTCACATTGCTGTTGGGCTACACTAACTCAGTTTGGACATACCAGCTGCAGCTTTCACAACGCACGAGCTGATTTCAGCATGGAGTAACAGACTGCGGAGCCTACACATATGAAGCCATCAACAACCTCAAGTGTCATACAAACATATGAATTAGGAGCAGGAACAGTCCATTCAATCTCTTGAGCATGCTGTGCCATTTGATAAGCTGGAAGGATTGTGGCCTAAACTCTACCTTCATATCTACCTTCTTTAACCCTTAACCTCCTTAAATTAAGAATGTTCCACAACTCAGGTTTTAAAATTCCCAATGACCCTACCTCCACTGTTCATTTGGGAAGGTAACTCCACAGGCCAATGACCTACTGAAAGAGAACAAAACTTCCCATCTCTATCTTGAATAGGAGTTTCCCCTCTTACCCTTAAACTGTCTCTCCTGGTGTTGGCTCTTTCAGCATCCATCTCGTCAAGCCCTCTCATGATCTTATGGCACAAGTCTTTTGCTGTTCAGAGCTAAACTGCTACTGTACTGCACCACAAATGTAGGCCTGTTCCTTCAGAAATGTGGAATGTATCTGAAATCAAACTGCATCTATATATTGCTAGTCTGCTGTAGGAAAAGCAATGGCCCTTTTCACAGCACTAGCTGCTGCACTCTTGTCCAGTATTCACTAACAAACTAGAAAGCTTTGAGACTTTTAACCAGCTTTTCATTGTGTACAAGAATGAGTGAGTGGCTAAACGGACTGATGAATGTGTAAATAAGTAGAGTGGGTACAAGCTGGTAGGTGAGGTAGATGGAGGTTGGTTGCATTAATACCCAGGAGTTGGACAAGGATTTTTCTGTAACAAATCCTTGGTCACTATCCAGGTAAGTAAGTCAGAGTTGTCTGAAGTACCTGACTCTAACTCAGAGTTGAACACTTTGAGGGCTATAGGGAGCAGGGGAATTTCCCATTAGAGGTTCAAACTTTCTAGTCAATTCCCATGAAGTCCCAGCATGCATCTTGGATTATACATCCTTTTTCCAACTACGCAGGGATCAGAAGATTTAGGCCTATATGTTTTTTGAAAAGACCAACTCTCAGTCTTCTAAAGTCCAATGGATACAGGCCCAAAATGTCAAACTCTTCCTAAGGTATCCCTTTTATTCCAGGACTGAGTGGACCAAGCCTTCTCTGAACTCCTTCCAATCAAATTACATGCTTAAGTAAGGCAACTAAAACCATACACAGTATTCCAGATATGGTGCTTGCATCCCATTGTAATGTTGTAGATAGCACCATGATATTTGTCTTCCTGATGCTGATGGTCAAAACAAACTCTTGATAGGCGCGAGTCTGTCAATTTTTCCCTGAAAGTGCTCGTTGTTATGAAATATTAGTGCGGCACCATCAGTGTTGATCAATTTTTTGATAAGGATCATGTGCACCTT